TATGTGAGTGTGTAGTGTGTATACATAAAGGCAGGTGTCCATGCAGGCCAAAAGAGGGCATTGGATCCCCTGGAGCTAGATTTACAGACAGTTGTGAGCCATCCAACATGGGTGCTGGGAATTAAACTCAGGTCCTCTGCAAGAGCAATACATGCTCTTAACCTCTGAGCCATCTCTCCAGCCCCAACAGTAGTATTAATCCCTTACTCCCGTGAACTGTACATCTAAATGTAAAACTGCAACTGGCCAGTCAGCCCATGAAAAGAGAGCAGACAGCGCTAGCCACTAGGATAAACAAAGTAAGCACATGAAACCTAAGAATGGGAAGGACATTAGGGCAGTCACACACTCTGCAGGCGGGAATGTAAAAAGCAGTGCTCTCCAGAATAAGCAGGTGCCTGGAGTGTAGTTCAAAGCAGAGATTAGCAGGCAGAAAGGCCCTGGGATCAACTCCCAGCACCGAAAAACAAAAGAGGTAACAAAGCAGGGCAATGATAGCACACATCTATAATCCCAGCATTTGGGGAGCTAAGACTGCAAGTCCCAGGACAGCTGGACTAAAGTGAGAAACTACAAATATGACCTAAACATGCAGCTACCACAAGAACCAAAGCTATATTCTATATTAATCTCAGAGAAATAAAAACTTCAATCTGTACACGAATGTTCATAGATGCTGACAGCATAGGTGGCATGCTGCATGACTGCGTACAGAATATTCCAGACATGGTCCACACACAGTGCTGGACAACAGATGAGAGGTACCCAGAGCAGAGGTGAGATAGAGAAGACAGCTGGGGAAAGACTACTCTCTCATGACTGTGAGTTGTCATACATGTCACAGAATTAGACAGAGCTGACATGCAATAGCACACACATGTATATGAAACTAAGAAACCTGCACAAGGTCATGTACTACAATCCTTTGAATGATGAGCTGTGCAATTAGACACAGTATCACTACAGGGATCTAGGGAAGAGATTTGTAAGAATCACTTCTTAGTTATTGTAGGTGATCCCACTAACTTCAGAAAAGAATGAACAAGCAGGGTTTGGTAACAGACACTACCATAATTCTAGCACTTAGCAGGCACAGGCAGGAGTTCAAGGCCTAGGCCACAGACCTTGTCTCAAAACCAAACAGAAAGCTCTGGGTGTGATGGTTCAGGCTTGTCATCACAGCACCCAAAAGTTGAGAAATGAAGATCAGGAGTTCCAGGTCAGCCTCAATTACATACCAAGTCCCAGGTCCACCTGGGCTACAGAGTAATACCTGTCTCAAAGAACAAAACAAAACAGAAAGAAGGGCTGGAGAGATGGCTCAGCAGTTAAGACCACTCGCTACTCTTGCAGAAGACCTGGATTCAGTTCCCAGCACTCACATGGTGGCTAACAACTGAATGTAATTCTAATTATAGGGGATCTGATCTGATGCCTCTTCTGGCCTCCATGAGCACTGCATGCAAGTGGTACACTTACATACAGATAGACAAAACACTCATACATATAAAATAAAAATAAATAAAGCCTGGTGCACACCTTTAATCCTAGTACTCGGGCAACAGAGGTGGGCAGATCTCTGTGAGTTTGAGGCCAGCCTGTTCTACATAGAATTCCAGGCTAGCCAAGGCTATACAGTAAGATGTTATCTTAAGTGATTGTGGCCTTCTCATGCCACCACAGGGGTCTGTGGGACAAACACATACCCTAGTCATCCACACCAGGTATTAATCTACAAAATCATGGGCCAGGATTCTCACGTAAAGCTCACTGAGGATGTGGTTTGTCACAGAGGTACAAGAAGCTCCTCTCATATACCAAGGGTATGAATGACCTCCAGAGTGCCTGGCTTTGCTGGCAATAGAAACCATTAGGATGACCTGGGCAGCAGAATTGTGGGAAATAATCATCTGCAATATAACTCTAAGCAGACAGCCCTGCCATCAGAAGGCCAGATGACAAAGTATCCCAGCTTCAAGCCAGAGAAAACTGAGAATCCAAGGAGAGGCTTAGGCAACTGTGCTCATTTTGTAGAGCCCAGCCAACTCCACATCCACATTCCCAGTGCTACAGGCCAAGTATCTCAAGGCATCAAAGGCGATTACCGGACCCAATCAGGTCCTTTTTCCACATCCTAAATAAGACACCTGGTGTCTGATCCCTGTCCTTCCCCATCCTCCTTCCACAGTGGGGCTTCACTCCAGCCTTCTTGGCTATCCAGGGCCTCCAGCAGAAGCTCTATTGTGTAACTCAGATGCAATAGTCCCTGTGGCTCCCTATGCTCAGCCTCTATCACCCACTACACCTTGGACAGAACTCTTAGGAATTGAGCCCCCATCTTGGAGTGTCCCCTGCCATCACCCCTCTACTGTATCTCTACAACCCCATCACTGTGACCAATACCCAGGTGGAACTGGGCTCCAGAAGGGTGACATCTCTCATTCCTGTTCTATTTCACTCATTTATAACCTTCTCCTAAGGTGCAAGCCTCTCTCTCTGAGATGTAGGCTTAGTTCCTGGGCCCCACAGTCATTTAAGAGGATACGGAGGATCAACACAGCTGAAAAGTACTCATCATATAAAGAATTCAGTGTGCCCAAGTCAGGTTAGCAAAGGAATAGGTTTCTTCTCTGTGTTTCCTGCAGACATTCACTCTGCAGGTCAACTATCCTGGGAGAATCAGCCTCCTAGGGAAAACACAGTGCAGACACTGAAGTCCAAGCCCATAGCCACGGAGTAAACCCCCTAGGAAGCAGACCCTCAGCCCCAGTGGAGCCTCCAGATGTCATAGTCCTGGCTGGTTGGCTGATTGCAGCTCTGGAGCAGAGTCAGAACAAGTCAAGTGAGTATTTATTACACTCCTGACCACAGTGACTTTAGGATAAAACTTTTTTTTGTTTGTTTTCTTTTTCAAATTTTTGTGTCTAAATGCACCATGTGTGTGCAGTGCCCATGGAGGCCAGAAGAAGGCATCAGATCCCACAGAACTGGAAATACAGTCAGTTGTTAGCCACCATTTGGGTCCTGGGAACAGAACCTGGGTCCTGTACAAGAGTAGCCAAGTCTCTTAACCACTGAGCCACTTCTCCAGCTGGTTTTGTCTGTTTTTCACTTGGGGGACTTTTTTTTCATTTTGTTTAATTTTGGTTTTTTGTTTTGTTTTGTTTTGTTTTTTTTGTATTTTGAGACAGGGTCCCACACCACCCCAGGCTGGTCTAAAACTATAGAACCCAGGCTGGCCTCAAACTAATAATACTAGCTAATACTCATGACTCACCCTCTTGAACACAAGGACTATAGGGAAGAGCCACCACACCCAGCTCAATGTTTTTTTTATTTATTTATTTTATTGTATGTGTATGAGTGTATTACCTCCATGTATGTTACTGTACCCATATTGTGCTCAATGTTTATTTTAAAAACCACCACATTTAGGAGTGATGTTAAACAGAAATACATAGCTGACACACTTTGGTTTCCTATCTTTTCTACTCTGCTGTCAAGCCACCTAGTACAATGAACTTCAAAGCACTCTCTCCAGTGCTATAGTCCAGTCTTCGCCACCCTGATTTCTGTGATGCTCCCATATTTGTAAAAAAACCTATTCCAGGTTCCATTCTTTCCCACTGGTCCACTGTTAATCACTGGCTTAAACCACATTCTACTCGTGTGCTGTGTGTTATCAAGAGTTTCCTCTCTGGAGCTCTTTTGAGGTCCAATACCCAACATTGCATAAACAAGGCAGGATAGCACATGCCTATAAACCCTGTTACCATAGTTAAGGTCAAAGCCAGTACCCTGGCTACCCTAACAAGCTAGAACTGGCCACTCATGTTCAAAGTCAATTATCGATCTCTGTGTATATGTTTGTGTATATGGGGAAGGGATACACAGGCCATGAAGCACATGTGGTAATCAGAGAGCAGTTGTAGGAGTTGGTTTTCTCCTACCATGTAGGTCCTAGGGATAGACTCAGGTCATCAAGCTTGGCAAGAAAGCACTTTTACCTGCTGAGCCATCCTTCCCACCATCAGTAAACCAATAAGAGCTAAATTAATAGTTAAAAGCAATGTCGGGCATGATGGTACACGCCTTTAGTCCCAGCACTCGGAAGGCAGAGGCAGACGGATCTCTATGAGTTCAAGGCCAGCCTGGTCTACGTATTGAGTTCCAGGACAGCTGGGGCTACAGGGAGACCCCATCTCAAAAAGACCAATAAATAAATAAATATTTAAAAGCAGAAAGGAGAGATTTCTTCAATATGCCACATTGGGAAGAGAACAAAGAGATTCAGAAACATCCCCAACTCCAAGTCCCTCTTCTCAGTATGGCCACATTGATAAATCTTCTGCTTTTTACTATTACTTGTTTGTGGTTTGGGGGGGGATTAAAATATTTTATTTATTTTTATTTTACGTGCATGATTGTTTTGCCTGCATGTATGTAAGTAGAATCATGTCATGCAATGTCTACAGAGGTCAGAAGAATGCATCAAATCCCCTGGAATGGTTGTTAGCTGCCATGTGGGTGCTGGGACTCAAACCCAGGTCCTCTGCAAGAGCAACAAGTGCTCTTAATCATTGAGCCACCTCTCTAGCCCTTACTTGTCTGAATTGGCTTTTTTGCAGGGGAGGTCTTTTTGAGACAGGGTCTCCCTGCAGCAGCAGCTGGCCTGGAACTCACTATGTCACTATGTAGACCAGGCTGGTCTTGAACTCACAGAGATCCACCTGCCTCTTTTGGCTTTTTAAGGAGGTAGCTGAACCTGGTTTATTGGAGCTTTTAATTGCCCATGCTCTGCCCATTAATAACTCCAGTAAACAATCCCAGGACTCCAGAGCTGGAAGCAGAAAGATGAGACGTTCAAGGTCATCACTGAACTACCTGTCCAACTGGAAGCAGACTAAACAGGATACTCTGTCTCAATAATTAAAATAAAAGTCTCTTCTGTGATCCTATCTCTCAAGCAGCTCATGCTCTGGTCTCAGCTTTTCTTCTAGTCTACATTTGAAGTTCTATGCTCAAATCTAACCTCAGCTACTTAGCAAGTTAGAGGCCAGCTTAAACTCCACAGACCATGACTCAAAAACAAACAGCCGGGCGTGGTGGCACACACCTTTAGTCCCAGCACTCAGGAGGCAGAGGCAGGCAGATACCTGCCTCCCTCCGCCCAGAGGCCAGATGTAGATGGGTCGCTATACATTTCAGATCTGGAAACCTGTAGAACAAGTAATCACAGAAACAGAAGGGAGATTTTGTCTCCTGTAAGTTAAAGAGCCTTTCATCCTACTATAAAGGAGGACTTGAACAGAAAATGAGTAGGGGAGAAGCTAGTCTTATTTTAGGTGTAAGCTCATCTGCTGGCAAGGCCAAGATTAGGACAGCACATAAGAGAATTATGATTTTGAACCACCCAGATAAAGGTGATCTCCTTACTTAGCATCCAAAATAAATGAAGCAAAAAACTTTGCTAGAAGCAACCACCAAACATTAATTGATGTTCAAGAGATACACTAAAGAAAAAGAAATGCAAGACTTTAAAAGCCCTGCAAATTAGGTGAACTATGGTCTGAAGTTTCATACTGACCAAATCCTTTCTTTCATCATTAAACTATGCAACAATAAAAATAAAATAAAATAATAAAATAAGCAAAATAAGCCGGGCGTGGTGGTGCACACCTTTAACCCCAGCACTCGGGAGGCAGAGGCAGGCGGATCTCTGTGAGTTCAAGGCCAGCCTGGTCCACATAGTGAGTTCCAGGACAACTGGGGCTACAGGGAGACCCTATCTCAAAAAGACCAAAAAAAAAAAAAGGCAAATAAAATAAAAAGGAATGGAATTCTGCTACATGCTACCAAAGTATAAGAACAAATTCTGTGTGAGTCCACCTATGTGAGGGACCTATATTGGGCAAGCTCCTAGAGACAGGATAGAACACAAACTCCAGATCTAGAGGAAGAGGAGTAAGAATTACTGTTTAATGAGTATAAGGGTTTTGTCTTGAGGTTACAAAAATCCTAGAAAAAGAAACCAGGTATGGTAGCCCACTCTTACACCCCAGAACTTGAGATCCTGAGTTCAAGACCTCATCTCAAAATAAAAATCACAAAGTTATAATGGTTACATGCCTGTAATCCCAACAATGAAGCAGAGGTTAGTCTGGGTTACATAGTAAGACCCTACAGCAAACAAAAACACAAACCAAAAAAGACTGTAGATAGAACTCAGTAGTACACAGTATTGTTCTTGCCTAGAATGTGAGATGCCCTGGGTTCAGTCCCCAGCACCAACAAAAACAATACAGACACAGAAATATGCCACATAACACACCACATACACATATATCATGAGGGAACACACTACAACTCCTATAAACCATTCAAAGTATAAAAATGGGAATATTTCAGACAGTTTTTGTTAATAAACTCAATTTAAGTCAGGAGTTAAGAAACCACAGCTGCTGGGCCTGGTGGCACACACTTCTAATTCTAGCACTGGGGAGGCAGAGGCAGGTTGATTTCTCTGACATCAAGGCTAGCTGGTCTACACAGTGAGTTCTAGGCTAGCTACGGCTACAGAGAGACCCTGTCTCAAAACAAACAAACACAAACCAAACAAGAAACCACAGTCAAGGTTGGAGAGATGGCTCAGCGGTTAAAAGCACTGGCTGTTCTTGGAGAAGTAGCAGGCTCAATTCCTAGTACTCACATAGTGGCTAACTGCCTGTAACTCCAGTTCTAGAGGCTCTGGTGCCCTCTTCTGGCCACTGTAGGCACTGCATGCAGATGGTGCACTTATACATGCAGGCAAAGCACACATAATAAAAATAAATAAATTTGGGGGCTGGAGACAATTGGCTCAGCAATTAAGAGCACTGGCTGCTCTTGCAGAGGACCCAGGTTCCATTTCCAGTACTCACATGGTGGCTGGCAACTATCTGTAACTCCAGTTCCAGGAAAGCCAATGCCATCTTCTGGCCTCCGAGGGCATTGTACAATGTCGGTGTACCTACATGGATGCAAAACACTCAGACACATAAAATAAAAAGAAAAGAAAAGAAACTTTAAAATTAAAAAAAAAACAATTGTCTGCTATAATAATAATTCTGCTCAACAATGGACCCCATGTGTTGTACTATCAACATGCTAAACAAGATATTCCTCCTGGTACAATAGTGGAGCATCTACTGTATGTACAACCAGCAAATTTTCGATCGGCTATAATGCCAGCTCCTAGGGGTGGAACACACATCTGGTAATATAGACAGGACCAACCCCCTGTGGCAGGGGAGACTATAGGCCCCAGTGGGAAGCCACTGCAATTGTTTAGCTAGATGGATGTGACGCATCTGCTAAAGTACCGTCCAATCATTTGCATTTACTCCCATAGGCTATTATAGCAGCCAATGTCTAGATGTTCTTGTTTCTTGCTGTTTGTGTTTTTATAGTAGATGGAATCCCACTGAAATGGGCCAACACCCGATGGAAAACAGAAAATGCAGAGACCTGAAAGTTCAGTGCCTTGCCACAACAGGAGGAAGATCACTGCCCCCTCCAAGGCTCAGGGACTTTTGCAGAAGAGGTTGATGGAAAGAATGTAAGAGCCGGAAGAAGGGGTGAAGTATCTACTGGAAGTGTCCTCCGACCACTATGCCACTATGCCAGCAAGCTATAGTCACGCCTCCTTCCCACAGTTATCAAGGAGTTGAGGGGGGAGTCAGTTACCCCTCCCACCCAATCAGTCCACCTTAGCTGCATGTGGGGGAGGGGCTAAGGATATATAACCTGAGAAAGCTATGAGGCACCTCTCTTGCCATTTTGTGTGGCTGTCAGGAAGTCACATGATCTATATTTAAGTGTGGATGTTCTAGCACAACCATAATGGGGGGGCACCCACTCTTCTGCAAATAAACCCCCACCCTATGCTTTGTTAGCAAGCCCAATAAACTAGTTAGGGTTTAAAAAAAAAAAAAAAAAAAGAACAGAGCTAATAGAAACCTTTGAACACTGCATGGTAGAGCACGCCTTTAATCCCAGCACTTGGGAGGCAGAGGCAGGTGGATCTCTATGAGTTCAAGGCCAGCCTGGTCTACATAGTGAGTTCCAGGACAGCTGGGGCTACAGGGAGACCCTGTCTCAAAAAGACCGAAAAAAAAAAAAAGAAACCTTCATTATTCCACCAAAGTTGACCCTATGTTGGCAAATCCTTTGGTCTTTTTTTTTTTTTTTTGTCTTTTTTGAGGTAGGGTCTTCCTGTGGCCCCAGCTGGCCTGGACTCGCTCAGTGGACCAGGCTGGCCTCAAACTCACAGAGATCTGCCAGGTTCTGCCTCCCAAGTGGTAGGATTAAGGACCTATGCCATCACGCCCAGCTTTGGTCTTTGATTTTGTATCCCTACTTTTCCACCCTTAATCTTCACTGTATACATATTTTTATGTAACCTGCTTCAAGTTATTTCTGGAAAAATGTATTAAAAATTGCCTCTCAAGGCTAGAGAGATGGCTCAGTGGTTAAGAACACTTGCTGTTCTTGCAGAAGACCCGGGTTCAAATCCCAGCACCCACATGGTAGCTAACAACTGTCCATAACTCCAGTTCCAGGGACTCCAACAGCCTCTTCTGTCCTCCACAGGCACTGTACGACACGGTTGCACTAACCTATATGCAGGCAATACACTCAAACACATAAAAATAATAAATAAAGGGCTGGAGAGATGGCTAAGCAGTTAAGAACACTGGTTGTTCTTGCAGAAGACCCGGGTTCGAACCCCAGCACCCATATAGCAGCTAACAACTGTCCATAACTCCAGTCCCAAAGGATCCAACAGCCTCTTCTGACCTCCCCGGGCATTGCACAACACGGGTGCACTTACCTACATGCAGACAATACATGCATACACATAGAATAAAAATAAATAAAAATTTTTAAATAAATAAATAAATAAAATATTTCTTAAAAATTGCCTCTTGAGCCGGGCCTGGTGGCGCATGCCTGTAATCCCTGCACTCCTTCGGTCAATCCCACTTCATGAGCCTGGCTGCAATGCTGTAAGACAGTATGTAGCCCATAGGAAGATATGTGAGCAGACAACCTCCTACCAACACAGTGTGACAAGGAGCCATCTTAGAAGAGCCTTTAGCACCTTTTTGGCCCTTAGCAGCCTGCTGTTCTTGTTGATAACCCTAACTGCAAACGTGTGAGATGTGAGTCAGACAACACAGCTAAATCATTTCAAATTCATGATTCATAGCACTGTGAAATAAAAATGTGTGTCCTTTGGGCTAGAGATACAGCTGTATCCTCACCTAACATGTGCAAAGCCCTAAGTTCAATTCCCAGCGCCACAGAAGAAAAAAGTTTATTTTATTAAGCCATTGTATTTCAAAATGATTTATTACATAGCAATAAATATTTAGTATAAAGTAGAGAAAATATACCATATTGTACAGTGTCAAAATGTCAATTCTCAGGGCTGAAAAGATGGCTCAGTGGTTAAGAACACTGGTTGTTCTTGCAGAAGACCTGGGTTGGAATCCCAGCACCCACATGGTAGCTAACAACTGTTGTAACTCCAGTTCCAGGGGATCTAACAGCCTCTTCTGTCCTCCTGAGGCATTGCATGACACAGGTGCACTTACCTACATGTAGACAATACACGCATACACATAAAATAAAAACAATAAATAAAAAAATAAAATATTAGCCAGGTGTGGTGGCATACGCCTTTAATCCCAGCACTCAGGAGGCAGAGGCAGGCAGATCTCTGTGAGTTCAAGGCCAGCCTGGTCTACATAGTGAGTTCCAGGACAGCTGGGGCTACAGGGAGACCCTGTCTCAAAAAGACCAAAAAAAAAAAATCAATTCTCGCCGGGCGTGGTGGTGCACACTTTTAATCCCAGCACTTGGGACAGAGGCAGGTGGATCTTTGTGAGTTCGAGGCCAGCCTGGTCTACATAATGAGATCCAGGACACAGCTGGGGCTACAAGGAGACCCTGTCTCAAAAAGAGCAAAAAAAAAAAAAAAAAAATTAATTCTCTCCAGATAGATCTATAGTTTCGATACAACCCCAATCAAAATCACAGGAAGCCTTTCTGCAGAAACTAGTAATTCTAAAATATATGTAGATGCCAAATATATAGTAGTTCATGCCTATAATACCAGCACTGAGGCGGCTGATACAGGAGAAACCTGAAGTTGAGGTCAGCTTGGGCTACACAAGAAAGTTTCAGGTCAGTCTGGGCTACAAAGTGAGACTTGTCTCAAAAAAAATCAAAAACAAACTTTAAAAAAGGAGAAAAAAGAAAACAACTAACCAATGTTTGTTTGCTTTGGGTTGTTTTGTTTTGTCTTAGATTTTATTTTTTTTTTTAAAGAGAATGTTTCACTTTGTAGCCCTGACTGCCCTAGAACTTACCACATAGACCAGGCTAGTCTTGAACTTGTAGAGATCCACCAGCCTCCGCCTCTTGAGTGCTGGGATTAAAGGCATGTGCCACCATCACTGACCTAAAAACAAAATTTGTCTAAAACTACATAAAACCCTGATGATTCAGAATTATTTGGGGTGTGTGGGAGGTTGGATGCCTATAATCCCAGCACTTCGGAGGTGGAGGCAGAAGGGTTAGGCATTCAAAGTCATTCTTGGATACTCACTCTGAGGTCAGCCTGGGATACACGAGATTCTCTCTCTCTCTCTCTCTCTCTCTCTCTCTCTCTCTCTCTCTCTCACACACACACACACACACATATACACACAACAAAAAAAAAAACAAATAATATTTCAAAAAAGGAATCAAAGTAGAGAATTTCCATTGTTTCATCTCAAGACCTATCTCAACGTTACAATCATCATATCTGTAGGACACTAACCCAAGAAAAATTAACAGGACAGAGAATCCAGATATACATCTGCACATATACTATCCAAAAAGTGAGTCTAGAACAACTGAACAACCACAGGGAAAACAATGAACCTGCACTCCTACTCACACCACAAACAAGTGAAAAGCACAAAGAGAAGAATCTGCTTACCCACAATTCATCAAAATTAACACCCATCTGGTTCTTCAGGATACTGTTAAGAAAATTAAAAAGTGGACCAGTGAAATGGTTCAACACATAAAGGTGTTTGCCTCCAAGCCTAACAACATGAGTTCAATCCTCGTGACCCACATGGTAGAGGGAGAGAACTGACTCTCAGTTGTTCCCTCAACTCTGCATGCTCATTGTGGCACTGGTGCATGCACACACAATCACATGGAATAAACAAACATAATTATACAACAAACACACAGCCAACATCATTCTAAATGGAGAAAAACTTAAAAGCATTCCCATTAAAATCAGGAATTAGATAAGGCTGCTCACTGTCCCCACTCCTTTTCAATTAGTGCTTGAAACTCTAGCCAGAGCAATAAGACAAGAGAAGGAAATTAAAGGGGTACTAATTGGAAAAAAGGATCAAATTATTCCTATTTGCAGATGATATGATATACATAAGATGATATGATATATATAAAAAATTCCACTAGAAAACTTCTAGAAATGATCAACACTTTCAGCAAAGTGGCAGTATACAAAATCAATATACAAAAACCAGTAGACTTACTATATACCAATAACAAGCAATCAGAGAAAGAGTTCATGGAAACATTCCCATTCACAACAGCCTCAAACAAACAAACAATAACAACATATATATATGTT